TCACCACCCTTGCCCAGCTCTTCCAGCACAGCGCGTGGAAGACCAGCCTGGTCTCCACCTGCGATATTGGGTCGGGGTGGCCTTGTCCTTCATTTCCACCTGGAGCTTGGACCTGTGGCCAACGCGTGGGGGAAGCCAGCAACCCAGGACCACAGCACTACGTCCGCCTCTCCACCTCCAACCCGGGAGGCTGCAGAGGCAAAGAATCTCTTATTGTTTCGCTTGGGCCCGGCATCCACCTGGTTTCCAAGACCCACATCAGTCAACCGGTTGCTGCAACAGTCAGCCGCCAAATCGGCGCCCTTGCTTCAAAAGAAGGTCGCCTTGTTCGCACCTTACATGGATGCCACTCAGCCCTTCGTGCACATTCAGATTGGGCTGGCACTGGGACGGGGGTTGCCACCGTCTCGGACTTTGTTTGCAGGTCGGTCAACCTTCAATGGCCCTCCGACATGTGGGAATCAAGTAGAGTACAGGCTACCGCTCACCAAGTTGGACATCAGCAGAGCGTCATCGTCAATGTGTACGGGTACCCCAGGGGCCCCACTTGGCCTAAAGCAGCCTCACTCACCAACCAGCTTTTGGCCTTCTTGACCCAGCACGTCGTGGCAGGCTACAGTGGCCTTGTGGCCATTGGTGGGGATTTCAACTTCGACCCGGATCAGCTGGACGAATTCGATATCTGAGATCGTTCGGATGGACGCGTGCACAACAACTTGCCGCAGACAAATGGGGAATCCCGATACAGGCCACATGCAAGGGCAGCACCCAACGCGATCAGCTTTGGCTCTCGCCTGCCCTTGCTGCTCTCTGCAAGGAGGTCCACGTCTTTGACATCTTCAAGGACCACAGCACAGTGGCCGCGGACTTTGATGTCCCATTGACGACCACCAGCCACCTTTCTTGGCCAAAATCCCGTGGGATGAGATCTCCATTGCACAGTGGCAAGCTGCAGCAACCTCTTTCTACTCCTTCACTCCTGGGATGGACCCCACCGAGTACTACCGTCAGTTTTCTCGGCATTTTGAGGACTCGCTGGGCACCTACTACCACAACGGGCAAGGCAAAGGCCTACCACCCAGCTGCAAAGGCCGCGGCCAGCAGACTAACCCATCGTCGCGGAACACCACGCCGCCTTCCTGTAGGGCAAGCAGGCCCGGCGAGGTGGAAATGGTATACGACCTTCCTGGCCAAGCTGTTCTTCGATGGTATCGTCAGCTGCGCAGGCTCCAATCCTGTCTACATGCAGCCAGGGCGGCTAGTCCTACCCCTTCAGCTCAGCAGTGCAGAGCTGAGCTCTGGGCCGCAATTCGGCGCGCCAGCTTGGTGGAGTCAGCAAGATTTTGCTCAGCGCATCGGCCAGCTCCCCATCTGCCCACCCAGGATGCCACAGGCGGAATGGTTCTACGCTGCTTTTGAACGCAGCTTCCGCTCCTTCGAGGACTGGCATCACCGCAATCGAATCCTAGGGAGCAAGAGGAACCACACCCATGATGCCCTCTTCAAGTCCATCCGTGATCCTCAAAGAGATCAAATCGACTCACTCTGGGAGGACAAGGACTTTACACTTTTGGCGGTTGATCCAATTGGCGGCCAGCTCCATGTCGATGCTCCGGCCAACAGCGCCCCTACAACTCCATGGCAATTGGATGGGGTTCCTTTCTATGTCACGGGCACCAATGGCGACATCATCGACACGGACAACCTGGTCCTTCCAGAGCCTGGCATGGTTCTCACTCAGAGGACACATTTTGATACTCCCTCTGAGATACATGAGCAGCTCAGCAACCTCTGGAGACCCAGGTGGCTTGCAAGTACGCCGCCTTCGCAATTGGATTGGGACCGCATTATCAGTTTTGTTCAGGCATTCATGCCAACTCATCACATCGAGATTCCATCCCTTTCAGTCAACTCATGGCTACAATCAGTCCGACGATTCAAGCCGCACGTGGAGCTGATGGATATCACAAGCTGGACTTGCTGCATATGCCGACCTGCATGATCACCTCCTTGCTCAGCCTCTTCGAAGCTTTTGAACAAGGTCAAGCCGACTGGCCTACACAACAGCTTGAAGGATTTGTACTCGCATTGGCAAAAAACAGATGAGGCGCATCAGCCTACACATTTCAGGCCAATCGTTCTCCTTTCTATGCTGTACAGATGCTGGTCGTCATTGCGGTCAAGACAATTACTGCGCCAACTGTTGAGAAGGCTTTCAACAACATCAGGCGTCAGCCGCTATTCGCACTGGCATCACATCTGGGAGTGCCAGGCAAGGTTTTACAGCCATGGCGCAACTTTCTTGGCTCCCGCGTGCACAACCAGTTAGGACCTGCACATCGGTCTGATATTGGCTTTCCTGAAGGCTGCCCACTTAGCGTGGCAGCGATGGCTATGCTGGATCGGGCTATGCATCAGTATCAGAACGCCTTTACAGCACGTGCACGCACTAGGAGCTTTGTGGACAACATCACAATCACCACAGCAAGCACGGGACGTCGCCATGGCATATTTCTCCATACGGTCTTTCCTGCAACTTTGGGGATTGACCATCGATCAGGCGAAGACTTTCACATGGGGTACATCCAGTCAAGCGCGACGGGGCATCCAACAACTGGCCCTACCCGTCAGGACGGACGCTCGCGAATTAGGCGGCACCCTCTCATATCAGAGAGGCTACCGGAACCGTCTACTTCTTCAGAGGGCAGATCAGATTGCTGAGAAGTGGGCCAGGCTTCGGAGATCCCGGCCCCCCATTGCACATAAACTGCACATGCTGCCTTCGGTTGTTTGGCCAAATCCATTCCATGGTGACCTCTGCTGCAAGTTTTCGGATACATATCTGGTGAAACAACGCGCGCAAGCGATGAAGGCCCTCAACATCCAGCACGGTGGAAGCAGCCCAATTCTGAGGCTGTCGCTTTCTCAACCGATGCAAGCCGACCCAGGCTTCTACCAGCTGTATCGAGGCATCCACGACTTCAGGCGCCTCTGCATGAAGACACCTGAACTTTTGGATGAGTGGCGGACCTTTTTTGCTCGCACGCAAGGCGAGCAACTTGCGGGACCCTTCCACAAAATGATGAGCTTTTTCAAACAAACTCCATTGGACTATGTTGAGCCCCCCGCTCTTTCTGGACCATGACAGTCAGGTATTCGATCTACTGTCAATTGGCAAGGCGCATTGGACACCATCCTGCAGGGCGCCTGGATGCAGCATGTTTGCAGGTCTCTGCAGCACCGGAAATCATGCAAGGATTTGTGCGGCATCGACCGCGACCTTTCCTTGCATGGCATTGCAGGCCTCTCACATTTGCAGTCAGCACAAGCGTATTACATCATGGGTGGGTGCTTTATTTCAAATTGGCAGCAGTCCAAGTTTGATGCGTCAAAAGAACCATTCTGCGCACAATGTCAGATGCCGGATACTCAGTTGCATTGGCTTTCGTGCCCTCTTTACACTGAATTCAGGGCAAACAGCCCGGATATCATGCTTTGGGAACGCACCATGCCTAGCAGCTTTTTGCAGCATCTTTTGATTCCTCGATCACCGCATTCGGGGGAACTTAAGCAGGCTTTTCTGGATATCCCGGCGCAGTTGGTCTTTTTCTCTGGCCCATCGGAAGGTTTGCAGCATTTGTTCACAGATGGTAGCAGCGTCCCATTGGCAGATTGCTCACTTTCTTTCGCATCTTGGGCAGTCGTCAACGCCACCACGGGGGAAGCCATAGCAGGCAGCCCATTGCAGGGCATCTCTCAGACCATTGCTCGTGCTGAGCTGAGAGCTGTCATTGCAGCGGTTGAATGGGCAGCATACTTCAATTGCCGGGTATGCATTTGGAGTGACTCGCAAAGCACGGTCAACGCGACGCGCGATATACTGGCAGGCGACAGTTTTTGCCATCACGGCACACCGGAAAACCACGACCTTCTTCAATGGTTATCTTCAGCGGCGAGCTCGCTGGAGTCGGACGCGGTTTGCATTTATTTGATTCCATCGCATCTTGATTATTTGCAGTGCAGTACACCTTTTGAGGAATGGGCGTGTCTCTGGAACGATATTGTCGACAAAGCAGCGCTTCAGCTCAATGTACGCAGATCACCGCAACAGACGCTACTTTTTCGCGCAGAGCAGGACAGACAACGGGTTTGGAAGCACAGACTTCAAACGTTGCGCGACTTCTATCTGGCGGTAGCACAACAGCGGCGTGCAGACACACCAGACGACGTACATTGCATCGTTGAGGAAACGGAACCTTCATTCGACTGGTCAACGCTTACGGAACAAGGCAGCCTCTTTGAGAACTTGAACTGGAAAGCGCAGATTTGCAACACGCAGCCTACTGCACCTTTGGAATTTTTCGCTTCCTTGGTAGCTTGGGACGATCATGCATGTAATTTTGAGCCTATCTCCATCCTGGAGTTGACCCTGCTTCTTCTCGCAGAGGCAGACCTTGCATATCCGCTGCGAACTTCTGAGGGACACTTCAAACTGCATCGGTTAGGCGATTTTTTTGCGAGACCTACACTGGCGAGCCTTTCCAGGCACACTAGCACTTGCTTTCGCAGCCTTGGAGCGGCGGTTGGTCTGGATCGATATTTGCTCTGCAGGCACTGCCGCCGCTCGGTAGGCATTTTCATTCCGGTAGAGTCTGTCCTCATCAGGCTCCCGGATCACCTCAAAGCAACGGCTCAACGCCGCTTGCAAGAATTCACCGGAGGGAAGGGAGTCAGAAAGTCAACTGACATTGCAAGGCCCCTCTCTGGTGGCTGATGACTCAAACCGAGCGCCACACTGCTCGCGCTGTGTGCGCTCGACTGACGGTCCGAGATAAGGGCTCCTTGGCTAATCCTAGGTTCCAGGAATATCATACGGGTGCCATGGACACTTACAGTCTTTGCATAATCCGCCATACCCTACATGAAGGTTGCGAAAAACCGACCTCCCGTGTCCATCATTTCGGGTACCCCCCCCAGAAATCCTTCGCCCGAGACCCGAGGTGCGACGGACAGCTCAACGAGCTCAAGGAGCTCCACGAGCTCCAGCGCGTCTCTGAGTCCCGGCTCCGAGGCGCCGGGCGCCCGCCGGGCGCCGGTCCCGGAGCTCTCGAAGGAATTGGTGTGACACACAGCTCCAGAGCTTTTGGGAAACCCCTTTAAAACCATGCGATCCCCCATGTTCCTTGTTTTGACAAACATGCTTACTCTTTGCTTCGACCAAACAAACCGTTGGACTTGGGAAATGACTGTTCTCCTTACCCGCCAATGATTTGACTTGGCGATCAAAGACCAACCCAGGCCAGCCAATGTTTGAACGCCCAGGATTTCTTCCCACACATGCAGATGGCCCTAACGAGGTTTATAGAGGACATGGCTCATGACTCTTGTCCAAAGGCGACAAAGTTCACCTTCATTTGCAGAGGGAATGACACTCAATACACTCTCCGCACATTGGGTGAAACCTTTGCAATATCCGATGGTAGGGGTACACCTGAATGCTGACCGTAATTCATATTATATGTTTTTATTCATTAGATATGTGTATTCTGGGGTCTGAGTATTGTACAAGACCTACCATAGAAGATACCCCCCCCCCAAACACAGGAGATGCTAAAGACCGCCACGCATAGCGCTTGGGCTGGGATCATCCCAAATAAACCGCGCAATCGTAGATGTACCAAAACAATCAGCGCCTTTTCCTGAACTGCAAAACCAATCCTTTAGGAGGGATCCAGGCGAATGGACGAAACAACTCAGACCCGGGAACGCTCTGTGCAACGTTGAACTTTGGTGGCAAGGGGTGTGAACGTATGAAGTTATCTAGATGTCTGAATATTTTGTCCATTCATTGCAGGGAGGAACAAACGCCAAGCCCCACGCCCCACGAGCGCTCGCGATCTCGGCGCGAGTGCGATCCCGGCTGCTAGGAGACTCCCAGTCCAGTGTGACACCCACGGCCGCGACTTGGACAAAACACCCTGTTTGTTTGAGGGGGTGTCCCTTGAAATCAGGTAACCCTCACTGGGTGGTTTGGAATTCCTGGTTTGGATTTGGGTTTGAGCCCCTGGTTCTTGTAGAGGCTTTGCGTGGGAAACCACCCCTCCAAGCCAGCAATCCACACCGCCAAAAATCGGGGGAAGCTGAAACCACCACCAAGCAACCCATGTGGCCCATGGCGGAGTCTCGTTTTCGCATTCCCTCCCCACACAACACTCGGACCTTTCTCGGACCTTTTTTTGCAGGTCCCCGGACCTCCAGTTTTCGGACCGTTTTTGCCGATGGCTTCATCTTGGCTTCATCTAAGGTCTCCGCCTGGCTTCATCTTTCTTCTCAAAGATGGTTTGCGCTACCTCCCCCACACCACCTGTATGGGTAAAAAATGGGCTACAACCACCTCAGCCACACAAAATAAGGGGTTTGTACCCTGTTCCTTGGGCACTTCGGGAAGTGGTTTGGGGGTTGGAAACCATCTCAGATTGCTGAGAGAGGCGCCCTAAGGGGGGCCGTATCTTTGGGCTTCTTGAAGTGGTTTCATTTTGAGTCAAGTTGCCCCAGTGTGACAGACAAGAACCTGGGTCTCTTAACGTAAGCGTTTTCAGGGATCTCAAACTTAACTTCCACCTCATATTTAGAACCGACCCACCCCTTGTATCGGATCCCAAAGACACCTTATCCCCCTTAAGGGAACCAGTGCGTTGAAATCGGATATGAGGTCCCTGGTCAAATATCACTGCGGAGACCGCACCACTTTTCCTCTTATCGGATTGGTGGATCTGCTTGGTCCAATTGTATATGTTACACACAAGACAAAAGGGCCTTGAGCCCAAAATGTTGCGGAGTGACAAGATTGCATAGAGATCAACCTATGTACACAAAGCAGAACAAAACAGACACAAATTTCTTTTGATCTCTAGCATCTTGAATTGATTACACAATTTCCGTAGCCATTAAAATGTCCGTAGCCATGATATTCATTCTTTTGCAATTGAGATGGATTGATGCTCTTGAATCTGTGCTGAGCAAAACGAAAACTACTGTACTGGTTGGATGCAGTATAGGCATCAAAATGCATCGTGTGAAAGCTATGTACACACGCTTGTCATTGTGAAACTATTGGTCTCTCAGATCATCATAGTCGGATAGACGATGTAGACCAATCATCTCGGATCAATATCTTCGAATTGATATGGTGTCGTCGGTGTTCTCTATTTCGAGGTTGGTAAATGCACTGATCGCAAAACTTTGATCTCGTATGATCAATTGCTATCCCGTAGAGGGTTTGATCAGTCATACTTCTTCCATTGGTTATAGTACTTGCCGGAATAGTTCTTGTCATCGGACCAGTATCGTTCGCTCCAATCTTCCCAGACTTGCGAGTTCGCCTTGTTGTAGTTCTTGGATTGGCTGCTGGAGGAAGGAGCATTCCATCGCTTTCGTTGATGTCGTGCAGCACGGGCCTCATTCCGCTTCTTCTCTTCGGATAGGCTTCGAATGTGCACCATCAATGGGCTGTGCGAATCCTGGTCTTGTCTTCCGTTCATCAGCATTTCATTATTGATATGTTTGAGCTTCTCAGAAGACATCACCTTGTAGTCCGGCAGTGCGAATGTCTTATCTTCCTTCGCATCGTCAATCTCTCGAGTAGACATCTTCTGCTTCTCTTCTTCTCTGTGCTCGGTCTGTTCATGGGTCCTGCCCCAATGGAATACGTATGTCACCATGCAATCCGGGAAAGTCCTGTCGTATCCTGATCCAGTCTTCGTATAAAGATGGTGTCGGACAATGGACTTCAATGTGCTGGATGATTCTGCGGATACGTCCAGCCGTTCGGTCAATGGCATGGTCTCTGCTGAATTCCATGTCGTCTTGAATGTTTGCATGATGTTGCGCATCAAGCTGTTGTCAGGCAGGAAAACCTTTTGAAGGCCAGAGAATGTATTTGCTGATCGATTCGCATCGCCTGCAAGGATGTCGGCTTGGTACTCGGCCACGAGTGGCATGATGTTCTCCTGAAAATCTTCTCGGATTGCGCCATGAGTCATGTTCGGATGAGCATGGAATACGCCAACGGTCGCAAATGGAAGTCCTGCTCGTGTCACGTGCCGAGTATCATAGTAATCCTGCGGATATGCATTGGATTGAGGCATTGCGCCACGGAGTTCGTCATTTTCTTCGATCTGGATGACAATGATCTCCTTGTTCTTCCCATGTCCACTGACTCGAGTACGTGGCGGAAGCCGAGTTTCAACATACTTTCCTTTGCCAGCATTGAACATATCGAATCCTGTGGTGGCCAAACAGTCCAGGGTCGGATCATCGTAGAATGGGTCGGATTGTCCGTTCTCGATTCCGTAAAAGCATCGGAACATACCGAATGTTGTACCCCAGTTCTGAGATCGAGTCGAAATGTAACGTGCCAATAGCTCGACTCTCGCATGTGGGCCTCCTCGTACGAAACATCCAATTGCCTTGGCTGACCATAGCTTGATCACGATGCCCTTGAATCCATTGGCGATGAGCAGCTTGATGAAATCCTTTGTTCTCGAATCTTCTGGATAAAGCATCACATCGATCTCGTTCAAGCATAGGATGTGGGCATTCGATGCCATGATCATTCCCACTATGGGTCGATCCTTCACAGGCCAATTTGCAAGTTCTCGTCCGTTCAGCTTCGGATTCTTGGTGTAATTTCCATGGTTCATCGTAAGAACATTCACGGATCTCGTCGAATGGAAGCCTTCCGGATCAAGCATTTCCCCTTCGGGTTTCTGCATGGACTGTGTCAAGGATCTGAGGATGTCTGTGTGCGCCTTGATGGTTTCCACGCTATCGGATGTCCTAAGGGACTTGATGCTGACTGGAAGTCGAATCGGATAGCCGGAGGGATGCTGCTCCCTGTGGAACTCTTCAATGGTCGGCGCCCTCGGATTCCTGCTGACATAATAGAACTCTTCTTCCTGGAAGATGGTATCTGGATTGACATGTCTGAGGGATCGGATCTGCGCCTCGGAGAATTCATCGTGCGTCTTCGTTGGATCTCTCTCATGGTCCTTCATGAAGTTCTTGAATCTTTTCTTGATTTCGTCCATCTCAATGCTTGCCTCTTCCTTTGTCATTTGCTGATCAATGGTCTCTGCCTTGAATTCCTTGATGAAGTCCCTGACATTGTCCTCGTTCTGGAAGATAACCTCGACCTTGGTGTCGTATATTTCTTTCGAATCATCCTCCATTTGGTCATCCTCCTTGGACTGTTCTTCTTCGTGTCGCCTGCGCTTGTTCTCACTCGACTTCCTTTCCGAGTCCTTATCGGATCGAGGAGTTTCTTCCGGATTCACCTTTTGGAAGAATGCTTCGGCAAACTCTGCAATCCTTTTCTCGCATCGTTCGAGATCCCTCATCTTCAAGTTCTTTTTCATCATCCAATGGTTCTGTTGGATGGCTTGACCACTTGAATCGAATGAGGCGATGATGTGAGTCGGTGGAATGACCTCTTCCGTCAGGCCTGTTCGGATGTCCACGAGTCGGATATTGCAGTGACTGCTCTTGGTGAATCCAAAGATTATCAATGCATCACGTCCGCCTGGAGCATGAGTCAATGCATCGTCGGATGATTCGTCGTGAAGAATGACGTCGTCGATGCAAGCCAGGTGGTTGTGCACTCTCCCACGAGGGGTTTCGGTCTTCCCAGGCTTTAGTCCCTGTTCCAGAATCTTGCCCAATTGTTCATCGTATGTGGCGTGGAACATGAAGGTCATAGGGCACTCGTGGAAAGGACGAATCTTTCGCTGTTCCTCGATGGGTGCTGGTGCAGGTCGTCGCATTCTGCGATGCTCGTGATGGCTGACTTCATCTTCTTTCGAGTCAGCATATTTCCAGGCATGTTCACTTTTGCTTGGTGTGGATTTCGGAATGTCGTAGATCGGCTCATCTTGCTTCGGCTGCTCTTGGTCTGGCTGTTCAGTATATAGAGGCCTGCCCATGGTCTTGATGTCGACGTTCCTCGAATGGCCGCTGGTGCTTCGGACGTAAAGCTCCATATCCTTGTCTGTGTAGTAGTCGTGTCCATCCCCTTGGAGGGCTCTCGTCGCGGCATTCGAATCCAACCTGTCGATCCATCGGTGATCTGGAACAATTCTGCCGGATCTCTGTCTGTCCTTGTAGGAACCGTCAATGGATGGGAATACGAACGCAATTTCGAATCTGCTCTTGCCGAACTGCGGGAACATGGTCATCAGGAATAAGTGCGGTCTCGTTCCCACAAAGTGCTGGGCATTGGCCGATGTTCATCAATGCTTGGTACAGTTCACATGATCCATCCTTGTCGACTGGAATCTCGTATTTCTTCTTGGTATGCATCTCATCGGACGTCGGATCGTGCCTGAGGGCGAATGAGAATACGCTGCTCAATCTCTCGGATCTCCACATGATGAGGTGAAAGATCTCCTCGCCTCGGCTTGCATCGATATTGTAGTATCTGCAAATCTCTTGGACGTTCTTGAGGGTCCTCTTCATATCGATGTTCCTGTGATGGCATACCAGCGGGATGATGTCCGGTCCAAAGTCCTTCGGATCGCGGTTGGCATAGCAGCAGATGCTATAGACCTTATGGATGAACGTCATGTAGTCTTCTTCGGATTGCTTGTCCTTGCCTCTCATGGTAGATTGCCAGTAACTGTTGAATCGTATCTGCAAGAAGTACAAGCCGTCACCTTTCTTCCGCTCTTGTTCAGGAATAAATTCGAATCCTGGATGCTCGTCCCGAATGGTACTGCACTCCTTGTAATGCTCCCTGATGAAGTCGAGGTGCTTCGGGTTCCAGAATGGCTCCGGATTCTCGGTTTCCTTGTAGAGTCGGATGTTGACCTTGTACTTGGCGGAGGTGATCAGATTCGGATGCTCGCCTGCGGATGATACGGATTCGGCTGGTATCCTCCTTGGCAATGGCTGGCGATCATCATC